AATAACGAAGAAAGTGCTTTTTTACAAAATACTCAAATAAAATATTTTAAACCTGTTGTACAATGTCAATTGGAGATACAACAAAGTTGTATGTCTAACAACACTACCCTTTAGCTTTGTAAATAAACAAAACTTTTGAGTCCTAACTTTTACCAGCACAAATTATTCGTTAAGTCATTACCAAGAACGTGTCGTATAGAGACCCAACCGTTTTTTAATGAGAATATTCTTATAACTTTACTTAGAATTATCTAATATGGGATCTTACAATTATGTAACAGTTATAGAAGACATTACGATGTTAAATAAAATGTTTAACTTCCTGCTTTAAAGACAATATACTATATTATACTCCCATATGTTGAAATAAAAATATTTCCTTATATTAAAAAATAAATAAAGTCCACTATCAAAGAATGATCAGTAGGATTAAAAAAAAATTTGTTTTTTTAATAGTGTAGTAAACATTAAATTATGACTTTTTTTTATTAAAGACAGTGAACTGGACATATTATTCATTAATAATTTAATATATATATTGACTTTGAATCGTATATTGTTTTTATTGTTAATAAACACGTTTACTTATTTACAATATTATTAACACCAATATATATATTGGTACATATTTTATTGATAATTGTTTTACTTATTATAAAAGGAAAAAAATTGATTGGATATATTTGTGAAGATTTACTTTTGTGCATTAAAAATTATTGTCTATATTTGAAACTCAAAGTTATTTTATTATTATTATTATCTGTATACAGAATGATCGGTTTATCATGAACCACTCGATTACTCGTAAAATAAATACAGTATTGCAAAAAAAAAATTTAATTTCTTGATTTATCAGCTAATAATTACTTTTAAAAATTAACCCTTATAACTTAGAAGGGCTTCAACTTTATTTTTTGTTAATGACAACATACATATTTAACTAGCCTATAAAATTGAAAATAATCTTATTAAAACAAATCTACACGAGCAGAGACAGCGAAGATTTTATACATTATGTAGTAACTCAAAAAGCAAAAATAAAATTTATAAGGTCAATAATTACGGGATAAGTGAATAGTAGCCGTTGTTCCCTTAACTATTATTCAATAAAATATACGAGATTCTTTACTACTAAAGAAAATAAATTATCTCTGACGGGGTGTGGATACGAGGGTTCCTCAAGAACAGACCTGAACTCAACTTACGAATAGTCAGGATATGTTAGAAAAACTTATGTAAATGAATACGATAAAAATATAGACTATAAATTTCTTAGCGTATAATAATTGAAGCAAACTCAGCAGTAATTATTCTATAGACCTTTAAATGATAAGGCCAACACCGATATTCTTAAATATTAACAATATTTGTAAATGCTTTTTAGAACAAATTACAAAAGTTAGATAGGTTTATTTATTTTCCACTAATCAATTTATCGATATATTACTAAGTATACGATGTGACACGTGTAAAAAGAATACATAAAAATTATATCTGTTTGGTACAGAATGCTTTTAGAAAAGATCTAGTAGACCAGTTATTACAAACATCGTTGATTATATTATATCGTGTGACAGCTGATGTCCAGCGCTTACTTCACTCACCCCTTTGCCCATCCAGCACGGCAAATCGATGACCTCCGTGTCAATTGTCATCCGTGTACAATTCATTGTCGTAAGTCAGAAAGTCAATATAATTATGTGTTATTCTTTTTTGTAGCAAGCGCCTTCGCTTGAATGGTAAATTGTTCGGCCATTGTACGCCGTTGTTCTTTTATTTGTTTACTACAACTTTGTGCTCATTAGTGATTGGGCCCTGACCATCATTAAATATCTTCATTGTCGCAGTCACATTTTCGCCGTCTGTTCTCATCTGCCATTACGTGCCCTGATCTACACTCTGACTCGTCATACTCAGATGTTTGACACAATCACCACAAGATCTCATACAGTCCACTCATCACTATCAACAATTTCATATATTCAGCTGAGTAAATATTATTTTTAATGACATTTATTGTTTGTTTTAATTGAGATTAACTATTTTGTTTTAAGCCATTTCATCGACCATTAGTATTTACCCAACCCGTTACCCCTTAAATTTAAGATACTCCCTGGAAAATTTCTAATATAAGTGGTTATTTGTTATTTAATTATTGTCTGCTCTCATTTACTTATTGGATATACAGTTAACCGTCATCCCCCAGTTGACCCATTCCCACATCAATAATAGCGATTTAAACAGGCTTAAGGTAAAACGGGCTTTTAGTGCGGTGCACAACTAGCCGTCCTACGGTCTAGATGCCTCGTATAAAACAATATCACAGTAGAATAAATACGTTTTCACTTTCGCATCAATCCTAAAATGTGTTAGGTGTAGTTAACATTTAAAGAAAAAAGTTATTTCATGCCTTGACTCATATGCAATTTATGAAAACTAGAATGCAGCACCATATTTTGTGTTTAAGTACACATTTTTTTTACAATTTAGTTTAACTTATTTAAAATTAAAAAAAATTAATTATATCTAATAATTAATCAAACGATTAATTAAAAAAATAAATACTAACAGAAATTTTAAAATTGAGTTAACCTTTGCTATACCTTTGTATTTAGTATGAATCAAAACAAAAGAACAAATTATGAAATTCTTGAACTAGACAATAATTTGTGATAGTTTTTAGCTTCGATACGAAGCTGAGAAGGTATTGGTTTTACTAAGATGTGTTTATTTTTTTTTTTTTTTTTTTTTT